ATTGCCAACAGTTGTTTTTATTAAAACATTTAATTTGATTACACAGTCAGCATCATTCAAAATACATTTTTTTTTATTAATAAAAACCAGTACGACCAGATACATTAAAAAAATATCTCACAAGAAAATGATATATACTAACCAATTGGATAGGAAGGTGAAGGAAACATAATAATGAAGAAAAAATTGAAGATCCACAAAAAAAAACAGCCCAGACGGATTTGTTTAGTTGTTGAGGTTTTTGTTTTTAGTGAGTCAGAATTTTGATTTGGTATATGTCCCTGAAAAGTTGTTTGTAAAAACCTTTCTTCAAAATTGACGAAGTATTTTCTTCGCGATGGAGTTACATTAAGGTGTACTTTTTTCCATGTGAAAATTAGCGGAAAAATGTAAAAATAATGTTTTGGAAATTACCTTAGAGAAAATCGGAAATACCTTTAAAGTTACAGCAAATTTTGCGATACCATTTTTTATACTTGCATAATAATTTTGTAATCCAGTTCTATCCGAAAAATTAAAAAATTCTGCGAGAAAAACTCTTTGTTATATCAATCGCTGACTTTTTTTAGTACAGAAGGGCAAAAAACGTTCCAAGCTCATTTTAAATAATAAAAATGAGTTAAGGTAAGGTGGGGCAAGTGCGTGAGCGGGAAAATTTTTATTACAAATGTATTAGCTGCTGCCATCTAGCATCTAACTTTGGAAATATATATTATGTGAGTCCAGCGCGCAAACAACCGACCGTCAGGCTTAGTTATTGTTGATTCTCAACGGAGCGAAGTTCGTGCATTAATATCATCGCACGGTATAAGGTGACCCTGAAAATTTCATCTTAATTCATCGGTTTCACAATTGAAAAACAGTGTTCCCGGCGAAGACTGGTTTCTAAGGTTTAAAAAAAGAGGCACAATTTCTTAATTAAAAAGCTTCAAATCGTAGAGTTTGCTCGCAAGAAGAATATTGATCCGTTCATTGTAAACAGTTACTTCGAACTTTTAGACGAAACTTTAAATAATTCGGGATTGAAAGAAAAACCTGCACAAGTATGGAACCTTGATGAAATTGGTTTTTGTGCAGATCCGTCGAAGACTAAAATTGTTGGACAAAAGGGTATGCCAGCAACCAGAACAACTAGTGGTCCGTGAAAACAAAACACAACTGTTCTTATGGGGTGCAGTGCCGCTGGAGAAAAAGTACCACCACTCATAATTTTTAAAGGCAAACATGTTTGGGACCAATGGGTAGCATAACCTGAGACTGAGTACCCAAATACTACATATGCCGCAACAGTTATCCATCCAATGGCTGGATGGAAACTAATGTTTTCAAACATTTCTTCGAAAAAAGCTTCATCAAGAATTTATCTAAGGAGCACCTCGTTCTTGTTATATACGACGGGCATACAACGCATATTCTTGTGGATCTGATAAGACTAGCAATTGCAAATGAAATTACCACTGGAAATCTGAAGAGAAACTGATCCAGGCATATTGATAAGTGGTTTTACTAAAGCTGGAAATTGATAAATTGGATAAATAAAGTGGATTTTTTCCTTTAAATTCAATATACCACGGAAGTATTTCGATCCCTTAGCTTTAACACGATGGGATGAAGACATACAAAAAAAGAAAACTGGGACTATCAACCGAGGTACTGAGTCTTAGAAACTGTACGAAGCGAATACGAAATTTCCTTACCAAGCTCATCACAGTCAAAACATCTTACATTTGAAGAACTTCTACTAAAAGCTATCAAACGTGATGGGAGTCAAACAAAAATTCACAGGAATAGGATCTCTGTTGGAGCTGAAATAATCACACAACTGATTTTTAATATTTCAAAATAGGTTTGAAGAGTTGTTCACACTTCTACACATAAAAAAATGGATCATTTATAATTTTCCACTTAGCAAAGATTAAAAATTCTCGAATTTTCCGAATCCGAACAGAATTGGTCTACAAAATTATTATGATAAAACAAAAAATGGTATAGAAATTTACTTAGAGCTATTGTTTTGAAAATCGCTTAAAACTATTCATATCATATTTTCATATAACTTTTTTAGTTCTAGACTAAATTCAAAACTATAGTGATAAACAGATACTTATCTTCAAAAATCTAGGTTCCGGCTCACTGTAACCAATTTAATCTTTTCTTGCATGATGTATGCAACTCGACTGAACTAAAAGTGTGTACTTGGGTATGTACAGTTAATATTAATTTATTTATCACAGTATAGTGTGATACTATAAAAAAGTCACACTAATCTATGCTAAGGTCAAAAAGTCGATGCAATGCAGTTATAAAGAATAAAAGAAAAACAAGAATACGTTATAAAAGAGGGATTAAAGTAGAGGCACTATAAAAAATGTTAATTATCAGTGAAAACATTTAGACCTCAATTGAGAAACCCATAAAAGTAATATTTGGGTAAGATATTACATAGGAAAAGATTTATTAAAAAAAGTATATTTGTTAGTAATCAAATCAAGAATAATTTTTCGATTTTTTTAAATTTTTGCTGACAGTCGCTAGCGGTTTTTTTGGAACATATACTTTTATCTGCATACAAGCTTATACATTAACTTATACATTTTCTTTTAACTTTTTTAAAGAACCATACTACTATTTAAGTGTAAGTAACTACTATGAATGTATGTCAAATAAATCAGCTGTTTTAAAACTCGTATTTTTGATATAAACTAAATCCTGTTTTGCGGGAATATTGAGCACAAATCTAACGTTTAAAAATAAAAACTAACTATTTATCACCGGCGGGTGGGTAAAAGTAATGTATATTGTGATTAAACCAGGTGAAAACTACATAAACAGTTCAACTATAACTTTGAACTGTTTGTTCTGCTCGGTTTGCCTATTTTATTCACTTGAAGGACACCGGTTACGCCGGCTCCACACATGGGGGGCCAATGTTGGCACCAACAGCGTTCGTCCATGTGTGTACTTGCTCCAACGTTGGGAGTTTTCCGTGGACTGTCGGTTTTTGCGTACACATCAAAGGGATTGGCGCCAATACTGGTGATGCCGACCACACATTGGCGCTACAGCAGTGTTCTAATCGGCGTATAATTATGCTATATGTATATAATTTTCGCAACCTGCATAAAATTAGTTACCCAATTTTGCACAATCTAGCAGAGCAAAAGAAAATAAACCAACGACAAGCCGCAGTTGATAAAAAAAGTGCTCGTCTTCTTGTTTCTTTTAAAACACTTGTGCTGCCATTTTACACAGCATTCTTTTTAGAAAATAAAATTACTTTATCGAAGAAAATTTCCATTCCATGGCGGCATTAAAAAACAAATTTACAACATGTTAAAATCAATCTTCGGCCACCTGAGCCACTTTCGTTGAGCTGTTTAGAATGAATACTCCGATGCACGTCAGTAATTTATCAGAAAAGGGTTTATGCTCAAAAGGTCATTTCTTAGATAAATAAATAATATACATATCTGTTTTTTTTTCAGTACATTTCAGGCACCCAAGAAGATCATTTTGTCCTAATAGACTACCGTCGTGTGGTCATGTAACTTTTAAAATATGTATCGGCTGTGGATTAGTCATGTATGATGCAGAATATAGCCAAAATAGAAGGCTAAGAAATTTGGGAATTGAGTTGTTACGCTGTAGACAAAATGACGTAAAATTCGCCTTTTTGTAGCAAAATATAATTATATGCACTCATTATCACGACAGACAATGTGTGGATGTTACACTGAATATGGGAATACAGTTGACCCAACGTTGGATCCCATGGATCACGTGGAACCGACCTTAGTTTAATCAAACTAAAAACGAAAATTGAGTCAAATGGTAAAATGATGGGGATTTTTACAGAGAAATAAATAATTAATACTGATGTCAAAGACATAAATCATAAATAGATAAATAAAAGGCACCCATACTGAAGAAATAACATCGGTATAAAATGACAACATTATTGTAAGAATAAATAATCTCGAAGTCAATCAAGGTCTCGTAGTATAAAGCTATGCGCACAGTTGACGAACCGCCGGCAAAGAAACGAACCACGACGATCTAAAATTTAATGTCTTTGTATATTTGAGCGAATCAGCGTGCACTGTACGGTTTAATACATCGATTCACACCGAAAATTGAATGGAATGGAATATTTTCGCGGATATTGCGTAGTGGTGCGTTGCCTGGTATCTTAATGACCGCTACCGAGTGAAACGAACCGAAAAATATTATTGCTTTATATGTTTGTCGGCCCTGTACGTATTTACCATCGTCTCACTCACATTTTCTTCAGATTCTCTCAGACAACATCTTCCCACCTTTTTCTATCGTCTCCCATCTGTTCTTTCCCAAACACATTATTAATAAGGCGATTGCCATTACTGCGTGAATACTGATTCTGACGGAATAGAATTTCTAAATGTTATACTTTGCTTTGTCAGATCAGCTTTTACGGTCGATCAATTCAGGAAATAAATTCAATTTTCGTGTTTGGCTTTTTAAAAATTCCATGCACCTATTTATTACGATTCTGTTTAGGTTTTCCTTTTTCACGCACCACAAACTAACAATAATTTTTAAATCTATTTACCATACAATATGTAAGTCCACTGACTGAGCTGACGTGATTTTACCGGTAAATGCACGTTACGGCATTAAATTTCGGGCTGCCGTAGTGAGTTTTGTTGCCGGCCGCTTTGGTCAAGTGTGTGAGTACCTTAAGAGTTAAATTTTAAGCACAGAAATATCTCGACAGATTCTAATTAACAACAACCGCACGCCCTAAGTTTGCTACTATGACAAGAAAGCATATACCAACATATAGCTTTGGTAACAACTTGTCAAATCATTTTTAAAATGTCTCACGGAACCGACATCGTGAATTCAAGAAAAAAGATCAGGTCTAAATTGGAAGGACACGACGAGTATTTAGAACAAAGAGATAAAATAGGCAAACCTTTACCACTATCTACTATGTATTCATTAACAATCAAACAAAGAGTAAAATTCGGCAACTTTTTATTTCCTGTACGTAAAATATATCCTTAATATTTGAAAATTTGCTTGACATGAACGATGAATAATAAGATGAACAGAAAAAGGGTATATATATTTTTTTAATGAAAATATTCTAAACAAATGAGCAACATGTACAAATCACTAATGTAATACATTCCTACAAAAAAAAACATAAATCCCATTCGACTTTCACGCCTTTGGACCAAGTAGAAGCTCAAAAAACAAGAAACAAATTCGTATTCACCAACACCAAAACAAAATAAAACAGAGTCACAATCAAAATTCATTATTAAAATACTCATAACAGAAAAAAAAAACTAATAATATGTATCATAAATAGAAAATAAATTAACATAAACACTCAAATGCAATTCAGTTTTAATTTTTATGTAAAGTATGCTTATTGGGAAATTGAATAGAGTATGTATTATGTCATATATCGCTATCTCCTTAAAGAGGCGAAATCGAAACATTCAATAATTTTATTAGTAGTGTTTACCGTCAGTGTTGACAAAACGCGAACTGAGAAAAAAGAGCAAGATGATTTTTGTATTAATGTAAAATAAAAAAATTATCCATATTTGATCAAGATAAAATGACCATAATTTACTGTTAATTAATCGGTGCATACGCTTATGTACTAAGCCCATTACTGCAGCATTATATAATTAATTTGTGAACTGGATACCTTTAAAGTGATTTGAAATAAAAACCTTCAAAACATACAGAGAACAATTTCATTTCTTTTATATTGTCAATTTCCAATCAAACGAAACAAACTACAAAATCTTTAGTGATTCCCCCATACTTTTTTTACACGAATTCAGTGTAATATTAAATACAAATAAAAAAGAAAAATTATTTAAACGAATTGCAATAAAAGATAATACATTTACTTTAGCTAATCAAATAATCTTTATTGTTAATAAGTATTTGTAATATATGAAAAGATCATCACTCTGTTTAAGATAAGACAAAATAAACTAAACACAACTTAAACTTAATTTGCCACAAATAAATGTAATTTATGACTGTAGTATTGTTAATATGGATTATTATAATATATATGTTTCAAAATTTAATCTGGGTAAATCCCATGGATTTTAATACGTCTCGATACGCAGTCAAATGATAAAAGCATATTTTTATAAGTTCGCTATTTTAAAAATTAAAGTTCTACAAGGCTTAAAGGAATGAAACTCATAAGAGATCATACTTCATTCACAGAATTAGGCAACTCCTTCAAAATATAAGATGTCAATTTGTCATATACCACTATAGATTAGCACATCCTCAATTTATCACAGTACGAACTAAATTTTAAATACTATTTAACATAAAATTTTGTTTCAGATCTTCCTTTTTAAAAAAATATCGAAAATAATCGAGACTAAAAAGTTCATACCATAGGAAAAACCGATCACAGTGACATTTGACAGATAACAGCAACTTTAAATAATAAAATACAGATCAAATAAAGTATGTTCTCGTTATTAATTTAGATAGTTAAGCTCGAGATGTTATGTAAGACGCTCCCTATCTACGAGCTTTGGAGTGTTTTTGCAACTCACATTGAATGATATCCTCTGGCCTGGCAATAGCGTCTTCCTACAAGATAGGCGACCAGTACCACAACCACCAGGAGGGCTAATACGCAACCAACTACGATTGGGACGACATCTGAAGTTATAGCGGAAGCTTCACAATCGATAGCTAAAAATATTAAACAATTATTAGCCGAAAATAGCAATTTCATACAGTTTAAAAATCATTTGTTTATCAAAAAATATACTGAAAACACTGCTGACAAGTCCTATTGGTTAAATTCTGAGGTATTTAGCATTGCGGTAGTACCCAAAGTATAAAAATATCAAATGAAATCGTAGGCTTCCACGGCCAGAGTCAGAATTATAGTTTTTCGTCTTCCGGGTTTGGACCGTGTCATTTGTGAGTGACCCAAAAGTGGGTTCATCTCTGAAAAGTGGGTTCATGAGATGAACCCACTTTTGGGTCACTCACAAATGACACGGTCCAAACCCGGAAGACGAAAAAACTATAATTATAAAAATATCGTTTTATGGTATATTACGCCGCTCTTGACAGTCCCCAGTTATTAAGCACAAATTATAATATTCAACTAAATTATTTGTAAGTCAATATTCTTACTGTTATTATAAAATTGCAAATGATTTGATGCAATGCAAATGAGGTTTATAATGGATATATTTTGTTTTTAATGGATTATCTACTTGTTGTACTATACATTTCTTGTATTGTCCCTAGTTCTTATTAAAAAAAGCAACATTACAACTGGTAGAAGTTATTTCTTATATTATAATCACATGCTGTTAAAAAAATAAATAAAAAAGTGCCTACTAAGATTTAAAAGAACTAAATTATTTACAAAAAACTATTTTATAAAAGATAATATTGATATGAAACAATATTTCAAAATTTTTGAAGAGACACAAATAGACAACTTCTTCAAGGATCACCTTCATAGACTTGACTCTGTCACTTAAATCTTCTTTATCCTCGTAGTCTGGTGTAAAATTGCGTGTAAGAATCTCCCAAAGTAGATGGTTTCATCGAAAATAGTGACATTAGTCACTCCATAATAAACGGTTGTGACTTCCTAAATCTTAGCTAGCACATCTTTTGCCAAAGAACCGCATATCCACTTTCATCCTTTTTCCAAATAGTCATGTTATCCTTTACAAATTTTTTGAAATATTTTATGTCCGATTGATCCAACAACTTAAAAGACCTACAAGTTCTTATGAACATAATCACGTATTACAGTCAACAATATGAACTCAATATAAACATTAAGAAGATATTCCACACAAGCTTATGATAATTAGCAAGAAAAGAATAACAGAAGGTCCTCTACGTCAACCAATCCCCCTGTATAAACAACCAGGAGATTAGAAATCCACGCATGGGAAAAGTTAGATCCGCCTTCAATCGGATGGGGGCCTTCTTCAAGAGTCACAACCTCTCTCTTGATACAAAAGTAAGAATGCTGCGATGCTACGTCTTCTCTGTTCTTTTTTATTGTGCTGAATCGTGGATTTTGAACGAAGATATGTGCAGAAAATTTGAAGCATTTGAGATGTGGCTATATCTGAATTAATCCAGATATGGTGTCCTTCAAGCCAACCTGCAAGGAAAAATATTTGGAAAACGAGGTCCAGAAAGAAGAACATCTTGGTTAAAGAACCCCAGAATCTGGTTCAATACAACATATGTGCAGGTTTACCGCGCTGCTGCATCTAAGATAAAGATTGCCATGATGATCGCCAACATTCGTAACGGATAACCACATCAAGAAGAAGATTGATCCAAATCATAAACAAGATTTACTTTCTTCTTGCTCCCCGAACAATTTGCTTCGAAGTTTCAAGCCATAGGACTTTCTCTACACATTTGAGTTATGTATTAATTGCAGAGTGAATAGACTCCCATTTCATATAACTGTGCCCAGAAACCAACAACTTCATATTGATGACTTCCAGGTTATTCAAATGTTTCCCTTCATTTATATTTCTGCAGTAAGCTGATTCAAGTTTTGACCTCCACATCTGTCACTAAAAAAGGTGACACAGGTTGTTGTTTCTGGTAGTGATTTAAGATAAACACTGGCCATTTAACAACTTCATCGGGATCCTTGAGTCTCATTCCACATAAAATGATCTCCCTGCTTACTGACAAAATTGTAAATTGTGAAATTGTAGTTAGCAAGCCTACGTTTATAAAAGAGTACATTCTTTGTTACATCAGAGGATACTGAAGATTAAAATTGGCACATCCGTGTGCTCCATTGGAAAATTAGCATCAAATTGATCTTTAAGTTTTTCGGTTCTAGCTTGATCCTTAAGAAAGGGATGAGGTTCATAATCTACTTTAACCAACGATTTCTCATTAGCGGTTTCACTGACATAATGAAAAAAAAAAAAAATACGACATTGATCTTTTTTAGGACGATGAAAACCTAGATTAGGACATGTAATTAGGCGAGATAAACAATTAGAAAAATTATCGACCAAAGAGGACCAGTGGGAAGACGAGTCAGAGGAAGACCAAAACTTAGGTATCAAGATAACATAGAGGATGATCTAAAATCCATCGGAGTTAACGCATGGATAAGAGTTGACAGACACAGGGGCGAATGGAAGATTGTTCTGAAGAAGGCTTTGGCTCATAACGAGCTGTAATGCCACTGATGATGATGATGAAAACTTAGATTAAAATTTTCATTTAAAATTTTTCTATACATTGTCAAGCTAACTTTCTCTTCGGCTCTTGAATCACACAACTCAAAATAAACTCTATATTAAAGTGATATTTAAGAATGCATCAAGATAATGTCGTTCAGTAGATGATCGACAATAATGGAAAGGCACAGCGGGAAAGTTTGCTAGTGTATTTATAAATATATATCCAGAATATATTTATAAATATATTCTGGATCTATCTCTATCTTTATATGGAAACTGTTTCCAGCTGTTCTCCGTGCGTAGAGGTTTTCTCCCCGGCTCTGGAACTCAATTTTTACAATGTATGTTACCTGAAGTCATATTTAACTTAATACTGAACATCACAGTTTTTAAACAACAAGATGTATAATCTTTTATAACTATATGTAATTTAAAGGGTTTTTACCCATGTATTTTGGTGGCTCAGGCATTTTAACCTAGCGATTTTAAAACCTGATGATGAACTGTTTAGTCCGAAAACATTTGTTTTTTTGAAATAGTCCTTTTACGGGTTTTTAAATAAATATACCCACTTACGAAGACTAACCTCTTTTTTTGTGATACGTGGTATACAGCCAGCTACAGGAATTGTTTTCCTTGTGGATTTTTTTAATAATTAAAACATTCTGGTATATTTGGAAAAAGCAATTTCACAAAAACAAGGATAACCGAGGCTGATAAAGAAGATATTCAGTGGTGACTATACCCTTTATTTTGGATAACAGTTTCATTTAGGCATTCCATGATAGAAAGGTACCAAATTTTGTTAATATAATTTAATTATTGTAAGAATTTCAAATTTAAGATAGGTTGTTCTAAATTTATATTGTTTGTGTTAGATATATATGTGTGTTTCATAATAGTTATAACAAGTACTTACAAACTAATTCTTTGAGAACCGCGATAAAAACCCTATACTTATATATGTTATTTTAAATTATTCATTGCTCACACACAAACAAAACATCATAGCAATATACATATATATATATATATATATATATATATATATATATATATATATATATATATATATATACATATATATATATATATATATATATATATATATATATACATATATATATATATATACATATATATATATATATACATATATATATATATATATATATATATATATATATATATATATATATATAATATAGTGTTTGTGTCAAAGCCTTTTTATAACCCAGTTGCTTTCCTGTTATTCTATCGTTTAGTTTTTTGTAGATACAATCTCCATGTAATACTCATTCTTCATGTATGTCAATCGTAAAAATGTATGTCAAGCGAAAATTGAGTTAAATAAAACAATTACAATTTGGTCGTGCTGGACTCTTGATTAAATATTTTCACCCAATACTCAATACAGGAAACTAGTTATCAGACTTTTATGATAAAAATTGTTCAGATTTTATATAGCGCAGTGGTCACTAATCCGTTTCTACGGCGTTTGGTAAACTTACATCCGATTCTTAGAAACGGAGTTATAACAAATTTCGTGAAAAAATTGTAAAATATTCATTTGATGGGGTTTTTTCAAGTATAACTCAGCTTTAATATGTGCGATTAACTTCCAAAAGCCCCTCATTTTAAATGTAAATGTTTCAGCTTTAAAATTAACTTTGCAAAATGACTTTATCGATATTAATAAAAAAGTTATAGCTATTAAATATTAAAAATTTCACTAAAAAGTTGCAAACTAATTTGTTTATAAGAGATTTAAACAAAATTAAGATACGGACTTTTTACAATTATTTGTTATACGTGGCGTTTCCAAACGCCACTTTGTTAATTTATTTAATAGGAACACAATTTTTATTTTAGTAAAATTAAATATGTAATTTTTTATTAAATACAATCATTTAAACAATTAAATTGCGAATAACAAATTAACTGACGATTTTTCAGTCTGGTGCCATCGATAAATCGATTCTAGGAACCAAAAATCATAAAAAGAACAAGCCCTCCCCGTGGCTCCTAGACTAAAATGCAATAAAAGCGGTTAAATAACATCTACTTAGCTAGGATAAAGGATGATTATATTTTACACATATAAAACTTATTTTATTTATTGCTTTTATTTAAATAAAACAAAAAAAGCATTATTTAAATCAAATACGGTTTTCACTGTCTACCAAACTTTCATAAAATAGAGAATAATCGGAATATTTTATGGCCGGACTTTCCCTGCATAATTTAGAGAAATATAAGATAAGTTATTTTTAGAATTATTATTTTTCCACGAATTGTAGTTTAATAGTTTATTCATACAGATCACGACATTGTTTTATTGACCATACAACACAATGGCAATCGCTGTGACATTTACACGTTTCCACCACTATATTCATTTTACAGTAGGTAAAAATTGTCGTAATTGTCACATTGACATTAAAAATTTCAAAGGAAGTTCTGAAAGAATAAACAAATAATTAATAAAATGAC